CGGCATCATCCAACCCTTGTAGATACATATGATTGGTGTATGCCATAAGGTGGTCTTCTGGATTGGTGGTACCATCATAGGTACCTACCAATACATTTTTCACCTTGGCCGACTGTGCGGCGTAACTTTAAAGAATGCAGAGGGTAAGGTTGTTTATATGGCATGTATGGTTGTTGAGGCGCATATGGAGACGCATGGAGAATCTAAGGACTAGAGTGGGCGAACATGCCGCCTGCCTAGTTCTCTCGGTTGGATTGTGAATATCTCATTGAGGTATTCTGAAAGCTGTCTTGTGAGTTTGACGTTGAAGCTGACTCTGACAGTTGCATGTTCTTCTTCTGCTGGATTAACTTCCGGGGATCAGAATAAGTTTTCTTTGAGCCACCCGATTGAACATGCCAAATGGCCTTCCTCTTCCCTAGTTTAGGGAATCGGAATTTGGCTAAATTGATCAAGGGCCTCTGTCCCTCCCTAGGTTTAGGGTAAGGAAGAGCCTCTCGAGCCTTGACCAGCTTGTTCCTCCCACGCTGGGAGGGCTTTTTGGCCGACTGTTCCTTGGTGGAGATAACCGTCCGTTGGTCAATCAGGTCCTTAATCTCCCCTTTGAACCTTGTTATGAGATTCATGAGCTCGTTTCTTGTGATAGGGGCGGAGCCTTCGGCCTCCTAGGGTTGACCAATCGGCTGGTCAGCTAGTTCGCTAGGACCCACCTGTTCGTCGCCCCGTTCCCTTCTTTTGGCGGGACGGATGCGCCTAGTTCTTAGTTACCAATCAGGGGCCACATATGTGTCGACCTCAAGGTCGTCATCTGTATCTTGGTCAGTATAGACCTGTGCGTCGGCCATAGGCCGTTTCTAATTAAAGGGGAGTACAGGTTCTTGTGAAGCCATCATAGAAGTACTCTCCCCACAGACGGCGCCAAATGTTTCGAGGTTTTTTTTTTAATGTCCTGCGGGAGAGTTACAATTCCAAGACTAGTCTCTGGACGCCTATACCTGCAAAACAACGGAGACTTCGATTGGGTGGAGTTCCGCCTCCGACAATCAAGTTAGAACGTCTACTAGGAGTAAAGTGCGGAAAGTAAAGTCTCCCTCGGGTTCCAAGAGAGATTCTGCAATGAGTAATTGCTTAGTTTGGAGTGTGAGCGTGTTTGTGGATTTTTGAATTCTGTGTTCCTTGGGGGGAACATCTCCCTTTTATGGAGTCTCAAAATGCGTGCCTAATATAGTAGGTTTTCAGATACCAAGGACTGACTGGGCTTGCCTAGGAACTTGGGCCATTGAAGGCCACTTTCCCAGTTTGCTATCTGTCTGCCACGTATCATGGCCTGATTGGTCCACCTTGGACCTCTCACGAGGTGACACGTGGCGGACTCTGCTAGATCCACGTGGATGACACATGGTAGAGTTGAACTGGTCCACATGGCGGGAAAAAAATCCACTAATCAATACACGTCACAAATAATCATGCAATCACATATGCTATGAGAGAAAACGTCAAAGCATACAATGTCATTCTAAGGTTAAGGTTTAGGTGTCCAAAGGTACCATATCTTAAGAAACGATGTATGAATCAATCACTCAATGTGTTGACCCATGACATAGTTCTCCCAAAAAAATTTTGGCGATATGGGTGGGATGATTGTTATTGATTTTGGATAGAAGTCTAGTGTTGGCGACCCCTAGTCAATAAGCCAATCCCCAATGTTTAGAAGGTGCTTATGATTATGCATGATGCAATGTTACTTGTTTGGCTTTTACTTTTGTGAAGAAGGAAGATATTATGCATTCATGTTTCGATCTCTAACTAGAGATTATGCAAGTTAGCCCTCGTTACAACTCATAGGTAACCTAAGTTGGAAACCTTGAACCATAACTAAAAATTAATCTTGTAACCTCTAAGTCCCTAGTGGAGTCGCCACTGTGAGGATGGTGTGCCCGTTGTTGGGGATCTTCTTCCTCTATGCCCATTGCCCTTTAAAGCTTAGGACTTTACAGTTTTTAAGGTTTTAGGATTTGAATTGCTAACTGTATGGGGGATCTTGAATTAGAATTGATTCTATCATTACGCTTTTTTGTAAGAAACTAATAGAGTCGCTAATAAGTTTTAGGAAAACTCATAAACCTCATTCATGCTTTTCTCCAAAGTAGAGTTCAAGGGATATTTAGCATGAATCATAAGTTTACTCATGCCCAAATTAGTCTACTTTTACCAGAAATGAGTTCAGGAGCAAGGGTATCCCTTTAGGGTGAAATCGCTATCCAAGCCCATGTGCAGCCTCTACTAGCTCTTCCCTTTTCACAATTTCATCACCAAACAATATATGCAACGTGATACCTAAAACTAAGTTAGTAGATTTTATTTATAGGCGTCAATCACATAAATATTACATTGCAACAATTGTCGTTATTCTTATTTATTCCAAATTCAGAATAGAACAATAAATAAACAAGATTCGCCTTGGCTTAGGTGATAAAATAATCAATTAATTATTCAACCTAGTCTTTAATTAACGCAAGAATACTATGTAAAATTAAATAGTTAAAGTTTATTAAAATGGTCAAACAACACTAAAATTAATTCATGTTATTAAGGACAAAAAAAAATTAATGTGATTTATCTAAGTGCTAAAAAATAAACCACGTTTCCAAGCTAGATCTTCGTTTCGAACACTTATGGAAGGGGTGAGTGTTTAGGAAAAAAGGGTTGATTATTGCATAAGTTCACAAAGATGTTACTATTGACTTTTAGGCTGATTTTCTATGTGTTCAAAGCTCTTATTGAACCTCTATTTATAGAGAATGGGTGATCTTAGGGTTTCGGACATTCTGTCGCAGCAGGTGGCTCGCACAACTCAGAAGGTTATGCGCAGTTTCTACGCACGAGTGATTCGGTTGTGCTGCTAGAGGCAGCGCAGTCTCTGGTCTTGCGCGTGGCTTATGGTAAGATTCGATTCGGTATATTTTTGAAATTATGGATCTTCCGCAAGCGCATCTCTTGGGGTTGTGTTGGGTGTCGCGCGCAACCTTGTAAGTTACACGCGTCAGGACAACGCGACTCCTTGAGTTGCGCGCAGATTTTCCTGCAGCAGCCCTAGATTTTAACCTATGCGCTTCTAAATCCGTCAAAAGTAGGTTTAATCTCGGGATTAGGCCTAACTTCTGATCGGGCATTTAATTAATGAACTTTGGTTCATTTCGGTTCGGTCAAGCTAGTTGGTTTTATATGTTTACGCCTTAATTAGTAGTCCATAAGCATTCCTTATTCCAATCTGGCACAAAGATGTTATTATTATTCGTCATAGTACTTCTGGTCGGGACAAGGGACCAAAAGTAGATGTCTACATAAGGCCTTACCACTAAGGTCACTACCGTGGAACAAAACAATGCCACTCTTGTTGTATTTGAGAAACTCAAAGAAAAAGTGAACAAGATTTCTAAAGAGTTCACCTACGTGGAACAACCTTCCACTACTTAGGCTGTGAGAGACAAACTTCTGCACTTCTGACATACCAAAGTTCAAACCTACTGATAATCTGACGTTGTATTTGAAGGCTTTCTCTGCAACCATGGCTCTCAAAAGAATAGAGGTGGCACTTTTCCCTACAGCATTTCCTCTCTCTTTAGAGCATGCTTGGCACTAAATGTTCTATTCTCTAGATGCCTAGTACACTGAAACTTGGGAAGATGTCACTGAGAGTTTCATGATTCGTTTCAAGTGTAACATTCAAGCTAGAACTTTTGAACATGAGCTCTCCACCCTCAAACAGAAAGAGAATGAAGGGTTCCCCGCTTATTAAAATAGGGGGAGGGAAACAACTGCACAGTTAGTTGATCCCCCTAAAGAAAAGGAGACGATTCACCTCTTTATTGAAAATCTAACTCACAAGTACAGGTAACATCTTAGATTCTTGCCATTGAACACATTTGAAGTTGTATACAGTGTGGGCAATGAAATTGAAGATAAACTGATAAAGACTGCTGGTGGTAATAACAACAACAATAGCAACGCTTGGGAAAACAAGCTTCTTCTTCGTCTTCCAAGCCCAATAATACTACCAACAACATTAGCCAGTACAACATCAATGATGTGTTGGCTTTTAATGCTCCCGCACCAAAGTTCCAATGGAAAAGGAGAGTTTACACACCTTTGGGAATGAATTATGAAACTTCTTTTGCTCACCTTCAAAGTTAAGGGCTAATCATGCTTATCGGGCCATTTTAAGAGCCCAAACTTGAAGGTAGAAGTGTCAGTTAGGACCCCAATGCTCATTGCAATATCCACCAACATGGGGGTCACACTACCAAACGATGTTGGAAATTAAAGGTTGCTATCAAAGACCTGATTAATGCTAATCAACTTCCTAGCCCTTTAGAGGCCAAGAAGCCTAACATTCAAACAGGTCCACTCTCTAAAGTCATGGCTATCGCTGGAGATGTAATCTCCTTTGATTCATCAATACTCATCCAATATGTGGATGAACCTCTTCCATAAATTATTTTTATCCCAAACTATGAAAAAGTCACTGGAATTTGGGACAGTGATGATGAAGATATCCATCTCAAGGACATGACCTATCCACCTCTCAGAGCTATGAACCCTGAGGTTGGTGATGAGGTGTGGGGTGATCTTGAAGTCGAGGTCCTCACTAGGACTGGAAGGTTGCAACAACCTAATGCACCTCAACTTCTACCACAAGCATAGCCATTAATTGACCCCATCGATCCCCTAAGCAACGATGTGGTCAAGATACTTCAAAAAACTAAGGTGGAAATGAATGTTTGGAAGCTTTTGGCTACCTCCCACAAACATCAAAACTTTGTGATGAACGCTCTTGTTAAGGTGGGAGTTCATAATGACATGAAACCTCAAGGGCTAGCCAACTTTCTCACTACTGAATTATAGAGCGCAAACAATTTCATTTCTTTCTCTTACAAGGATTGACCCCAAAAGGTGATCAACACAACAAAGCACTGCACCTCAGTGTAGTGTGCAGGCAAATGAATGTTCCTATGAGCTTAGATGATAATGGCTCCGCGATCAATGTAGGCCCAGTTTGCACAGCGAAGAAGCTTGGCATAAAAGATGAAGAACTAACTCCCTTTATTCAAGGGATTCGAGCTTATGATAATGCTTGTCGTCAAGCCGTGGGTACTGTCATGTTGAACATTACTACTGGAGCTATTGAACGTCGCACCAGGTTTCAAGTGGTGGACATTAAAGCTTCTTTCAACCTATTCCTAGGACGCCTTTGGCTTTATGAGTTAAAGGTGATTCCTTCTTCGCTATATCAAAAAGTTAAAGCAATAGTTGGAGGGATTCCAATCTCTATTGATGCCTTTCCTATGCGCATTCAATTCCTCGATACCCCCATTGTTCATGTCGAGCATGATGAAGAAGATGAAGATCTTTGGGGCTTTTCTTTAGAGGATTTTCTTATGATCGAGGAGGAAGAGAAGTACCACCTTGACTTTGATCCTTACTCAAATGTTCATGATAATGCAATCATGAAAAAACAAGGGCATTTCCCTTGGATGACCCTTGGTATCAAGAAGAAAATAGCTAGACTTTGAGGCTATCCTAGCGCACCTAAGAAGGACACCTTTGGCTTGGGATTCAGACTAACAAAGGAAGATGTGAAGCAAGTTGTGCTCAGGATGATCGCTCAAAACAAGAATCATGCCAAGAATAAGGAAATGCCCATGGATTCGTAACCTTTAATTAATGATGGAAGGCACGAGTCAGGATTTGAAGTCTCCATGGATTTTGACTTCATCGATGAAAGCATTCCTTTCCCAACTTCTAGGGAACCAACTAGTTCAGGCTCTGATGATATTGTTGTTAATTTTCTCTTTGGGCTCGAGAGGAACGAACCAAAGCGCATCGACAATGATAACTTTGCGCTCATCTAGGATGTTATGTCGAACAAGGACTTTGACCCCACTTAGCTCATTGTCCTAGCTGAAGGCAAGGTGTTGTGAAGGGTTGGCGCAAGACTGTGAAGATCACTACTCCAAGCGAAGAGAAGTTGAAAGTCACTAGTGGCGAAGGTCCTATGTTTGATGAATATGAATCGTTTGAGTCCGAGTCTTAGTCTAAGTTTGTCTGTAAGCCTACGATCTAAGGCTAAACCCCTATATGCTGTCGTGTCTTTTTTTGTAGTTCCTCCTAGTGTCGAGTCTCTTGTTGAGTATCCTCCATCTATCCCCAATAATCTTAGCAAGGTCGCAGCTGACCTCTCCCTCTTTGATGTAATGGTTAATGATTTCAATAATATGAGTACCTTTGCTTACGATGCGTGCCATTCCCCTAACCCTGATCAATATTGCTTTTCTAATGATAAAAATGACAAAGAAATAATAAAAGCAATGGAAGAACACAATAAAAAAAACTACAGTAATTGAAGATATAGAAACAATTAATATTTCCAATGATACTACCCGTAAAGAGGTTTAAATTGGATTATTAACACTAAGTCCAGAAGAACGCAAAGAACTTATTAACTTGCTTAGTGAATTTTTTGATGTATTTGCTTGGTCATATCAAGGTATGCCTGGTATTGACAGGGACATAGCTCAACAAACAATATCACTCATTCCAGGTATGAAGCCCGTCAAGCAAAAGCTACGTTGCATGAAACCTAATGTGGCTTTTAAAATCAAGTATGAAATCAAGAAGCAACTAGCCACAAGATTCATCAAAGTTTCCAAATATCCAGAATGGATCGCCAATGTGGTTCTAGTTCATAAGAAAGATGGAAGAGTCAGAATATGTGTTTATTATAGGGATCTCAACAAAGCAAGTCCAAAAGATGGGTTATGTCTACTTCAAATCGACATTTTGGTTAACAACTTTGTTACATGATATGGTGCATAAAGATGTAGTGGTATATGTTGATGATATGATCATCAATTCAAAAGATCGACCAAGCCACATCATTGCACACCGCAAGTTCTTTGAACGACTTCGCAAGGACAACATGACATTGAATCCAACAAGATGTGCATTTAGAGTTACATGAAGCAAACTCTTTGGCTATGTGATCAGTTCTCGAGGCCAATTTTTTGTATTATATTATAAAAAATTTAATTTTTTATCCAATAATATGGTGACACATGTACATGGTAGGCCGTAGGCCCCACTAACGGGTTCATGGACAAAATTCGTTAGTTGGGGGTGATTGGTGGTAAAAACCAACTTTAATTCTACAGTTTTCTCACCATATAGCCCTGAGTAATTTGTTTATTCACCATACACCCATGAAAGTTTCCAAATTCACTATATACACCTGAGTTTAATAAAAATATCACCAAATACCCAAATTACTAACGAACATCAACTCCGTTAGTCATTTTGACTAATTATGCCACGTGGCAGTACACAATTGACTCTCTTATAATAATTTAATTTTTAAAATAATTATATAATTAATAATTAATTATTTAAAAAAAAACATCACCACCCACCGACCAACACCCCATCCCCCCACCATCGTTGCCTCCACCCCTCACCACCTTTCCCTCCCACGTCGGCAAACAATTCCGCCCCTGAAACTCGGCGGCGGTGTAACCCTAACCCCCTGGCAGTCACCCATCCCCTTCCCTTCCCTTCCCCTAAACCACCATCCTCCCACCCAATTCCTCCTTGTCACTCGAAAAAAACCTCCTCCCCCACCTACCTGCTTCCAAACTCCCTCTTACGTACCGGCGAAGCGTATATTTCCCTTCCCTTGCCATCTCCACCGCCTTTCCCCCCCAAACCACCGTCCGAACAACCTAAATTTTGAAAATAAAACTTTAAAATGTGAAGTGGTAAGTGGTTTTTTTTTTTTTTTGTTGTGGTAAAAGTCAAAATTTACTAAAAAGAATTGGAAAAGATAAATTTATTAAATTATTACAATAACTAATCAAAAAAATATATATATAAAAGATAAATTTATTAATTCCACTTTATCCAAAACTATAATATATTGGTGTTGTCACGAAATTTGTGATTGGATCTTGCGTGCACTTGATCATGTGCAATTAACCAATACTCCTACCGTCTCTAAATGATTTTCCCATTTTCTTTTTTGGGTGACCCTAAATTTTATTCCCATTTCTATTTTTTACCACTTTTGGGTCCTATAAATACCCTCATTGTTTTTTGGTTTTGTTTCACTCAATTACCTATAATACCCTTATATTTTCTCTAAATTTTTGTACCTCCAGCCATATGTATGTAATTTATTCCTTTTCATGCATTTATTTGTGGTACAGATACAATTCTGTTTCTTTACACATTTTTTTAAGTATTTTATGTACGTCATCTTCTTATTTTCTTAATTCTCGCGTTTTTGCCAAATGGGAAATCATTTGGGGACGGATGTAGTAAAATATTGAGTGCGCTTGATCACGAAAAGTTATCTAGCTCATGGCACTATATCACAAGTACTCAATACGGCATCTAGTAAAGAAAAATTAATAATACTTAAAATTATATCAAAAATAATACTAGATTTAATAATAAACGACTACAATAAAGTTAGTCATACCTACCATTATAAGATAATTTTTTTTATAGAGTTTATGATAAGAAATAAAAATTGTTCCTTAATCATAATTAAATTAAAATTTGTGATACCTACCATTATAAATTGGCGCATCATACGACACCAACAAAATTTTGTATCAATACATAACCACATTAAGCCAATTTTGTGTTAGTATTTTGTGTCAATTTTAGGTCATCAGTGGCTGGGTGATTCTTAACTTAAATTTTAAAATCCATATTTAAATTTATATTTGTAATTATTACTTACATGGTATTTATTTGAGTTATTTAACAATTATCAGGGGTAACTTCTCCTTGTCGAGAATTGAACGCAAAGAGAATTGGTTGTTTTTCAAGTTACTTGCAGACATTGTTCTACAATTGAAAGAATTTGAAGTGAAAAACCATTCATAAATCAATAAGTTGAAATTTAAAACGTTCATGCATATTTTCAATCTTATTGAGCATTTTATCCACGCATTTATAAAATTGTCCCTTTTGGCGAGAATAAAATGATTCCGAGATCCCAAAGATCAAGAAATGGTTAAGCATGCTTTGGCTTGTCTTAATCATTAAATATCTTAAGGTAAGAAATCCAATTGCTAATAGCTCCAAGTTACTCTCGGTTTGATAAAATGTCGCATCTAATGCATCCTTGACATTTTATCTCTTTTGCCACGACATCTAAGGACTCCTTACTGATATCGTTGAGCTAAACCAAGACAACTTGTATACTTAGTATACCTTACGTTCCTAGGGAAGTAGTGATGTCTCGCTTTGGCGTAGTCCATCACGTACGCGCATTAGTTCGGTAAGTGTTGTTCTTGGAACGGCAAATTTTAGCTCAATATTATTAGAGGACCTAGGGTTTCTATGTTGGTTGATTTAAGTGAACTTAACTAATCGTCGCAACATATAGAAATCCTAGACATGCATCTAGCAATCACATATAACAACAATATATATAAAGCATAAAATGATGAATTTGGCAACTAGCATGACCCCTTGAAATCTTCAATTTTCATGGGTCTTCATTTTTGCTCGTCTTCATCGAAACGCCGTCTTGAGAATCTTGGCCAAAATAAAATAAAGCTAGCTAGAACAACTAAGATTAATCTAATAGTACAAAAATACTTAACGGTTCGCAGACCGTATTTAGATTTACAAAAATACATAACGGAACGCAGTTCGTATTTTCTATCCTAGTCGGGCCCCACTAGTTGCCTATTTCAATAACCAGTTTTGAAAACAATCTTCCATTCACCCATTCACTATTTGTGAATGGCCCATGCAATTTTACAAAATACATAATTAAACACACAAAACTAGTAACTAACTTAGGTGGTTAATCCGATTAACGCGCCTAATTAAAACTAGTCAAAGTTGTTTAATCCATCATTTCTAAATGCAAAACGCTCACGTAATTAATTAAGATCCCACTAAATTCTGCATACATACTTAATTAATCCGATTAATTAAGTCGGCATAACCCATAATTTGTCAAAATTTTGCAAAATCGAAAATCGAGCTTTTTAACCTCGTTAAAATAATTATTTAAAATAATTAAAACGGCAAGATTTTCGCAAAATCGTATAGCTCAAAATCAAGAAAAAATCCAACGCAAATGCTTGGTGGGTGCGCACCATGGCAGCTAGGCAGCCATGCCTTGTGTTGTGGTGCGTGGTGCTAGCATGCTGTGCCCAGCACAGCAAGCCACGCTGCTAGCACCAGCACCCTGCCAAGCATGCTACGCATGCTGGCTAGAAAGCTAGCGCCGGCCAGCAAGTGGTGCGCTGTGCTGGTGCTTGCTGCCATGCTGCCCAGCAGCATCCTTCCGCAAGCCAGCCCTCGCCACTGCTCTACACTCAGCCCCAAGCCTCCCCGCCACACAGCAGCGCACAGCAGCATCATGGCACACCCCTGCTCGCACCATAGGCAGCCACATGTGGGCTGCTAGGCAGCCCGGCTAGCCTTGGTGTCGCTTGGGTGTTTTTGCCTTGATTTGCGTGCCATGTCTCGGAATTTAATTCCGATTTGTGTGTGACATAATTTAATTCTAAATTACACTTTAGAATTAATTTGAGGAAAAATAAAATAAAATAAAATAAGACTTAAATAAACTTATTTTCATTGGTGCACAAGCCTAAATTATCCAAAATTTTATTTTGAACAAAATTAGGTCTTACTTGATGCTCGAAATAAAATGAGCCATGTCCATAATTAATCTTGCCAATATGCAAATTAATAATGGATTTGACAAATGGGAGTTGGAAAAATAAACTAATCATCTAATAAAAATTTCCCAACTTTCATACTTGTGTAAAATACCAAGATTACATCTTCCAATATGAAGATTAATCAAATTTTACTCACAAGTATTTGAACTTGATGGATTTTAATCAACTAAACATGAAAAATCCAAACTTTGTTCAACATGGAATTTAGGGTTAGGGTTCCAATCATTTAAACTTTTAAAGATTAGAACTTTAACATTATAGGAACTTAAAATTACAAGATCACAACAAGCTTTCACATTTTATTGCAATTTATTTGCAGAATTTGTGAAAAACAAGTTTATGTGAAAAATGGTATATCAACTTAAGCACTAATAAAAAAACTCCATTATTATGCTCCAGGATATTTTAAAACCAGTAGATTAGTGATGCAAATGTGCATTTAATCTAACCTTGTAATGCTTGCATTAATCAAGGCTTAAAAAGAATTAAAATTTTTGTTGAAAAACGAAAAACCCCAGAAAAAATGGGTTTTCTGATTCGAATTTGGCTTCTGGAAAGCCCTTAAAAGGATTGAATCTGTTCCAAAATGTCGATTCCACCAAAAAATCACTATTTTTGAGCCAAAATCTGGGTTCGACAGCCAAATCAAGAATAAAATCGAGTTTTAAAATTAATTAAAACGAGCATCTAATCTAATTAGAAGAACAAGAACCAGAACAATAAATTCTTTTAAACACCTTAATTAAAAAATAATTTCAAAAATTAAAATGAGCGTGGCTCCGATACCGTTGTAGGGTTTCGTAGTGACCCGACACTACGCGGAAAGAAAACCCCCAACACCCGCCCCTTAATTAAAGCAATTAACAAGCATAATAAACTTAATCAAACAAGATTAAGAACAAGAATTAAACCTTTGTTGCGTGCTTCACTCCCGAAGAGCTCTTACTTAAAAATCCCGAAACTACGAGATCTCCGATGGATCGTACCCTCGACCCGACCCGAGCGTCCTAAGTCTTGAAGGTTAGTCAAGACCCGGACAAAACAAAACTATGAGTTTTACGAATCAAAGGTTTACTCTAGTTATAAGAGTTGCCT